GAAGAAAGGACACGTGTAGCCACGTCTCCTAAAGGGAACAGCAAAATCTCTGCATTTACTATAGAGTTTGTAATTCTGAAGTGAGCTAGCCAGGGCTGGGGGATGTGATGTGCCCACAGGTTTGAGTGTGGGTTTTTTGCTCCACTTTGCTGAACAAGAATTGTCTGATAGCCAAAAATAATTGCAGTTTGGGCTTAATCAGATATTAAGAGATTTCCTTGTTTCTTAGATTGGAGGTTTCCTAGAGATTTCAATTTGGGGCTGAACTATTACTGGGCATAAAGCAAATTGTAAAATTTGAACATCTGTCTAAATGGCTTCACACAGCTCATGTAAAAGTCACATATGTTTTTGTTTATTTTGCTGAAACAGATTCATCCGTTATGATAGCTTTAACTGGATATTGTCCTAGTGTTTCTTAAACATTTTTATTAGGACCTGGCTAGCAGGCTTTGCCTACCTGGTATTTTATAGCTGCAGCTATAACCCTGAAGTGTTTCCAAACATAGTCCTGCCGAAAGCTAGCTAGCTACTTCTGGTTTACATTTCGACAATTAATTCCAAGTACCCTAATAAATGTTAGTGTTCTCTGTGTGTGCGTGTGTGTGTGCGTGCGCGCGCGTGTGTGAAGCACTAATTCAAAGAGGGAGGTTAAGATTGTTATTTCTGTGGCGTGTGAAATGGGCTGGATGTTAGAGAGCAGCAGAGAAAGGCATGTGCCCTGCCTCCAGCAGCAAAGAGCCTGCGTGAGAAAAGTGGGAGAGAAAGCGAAGAGGGCACTGGGAGCAGAACTGTAGAGAGCTCCTTGAATATCAAAGTACGGGTGCTAATTTTCTATTTGTTCCTGAACATAAGGCTTTTTACTTTGATCTTACATACGAGATGATGCAAAGTGTGGCCTTTTGAGGTGTACGAGTAGGAAAAGTTTTCCAAGCAGAAGGGACGCGAGAGGTGGCAGAGGGAATTGATATCGTCTGGATTTGACAGTATCTTCATAGGTTTGTGGCCACGTTTGTTAGCGGCAAAGAGCTGGGTGGTGGGGCTGGAACTTGGCCTCTCCGTAGTTTTCCAGCCATGTGGTACGTGGTGGTTGCAGTCCTCTCGTTGCAGTCCTTGGTATTTCCAGATGCTGTTAATTTAGTCCCTGTTTCCCTGTAGTCCTTTGCACGTTTGTGCAGCCAAGCTCTCCAAACTGGCGGGTTTCCGCACCGTGAGAGCATTGCAGATGTGTCGGGGATGCACTTGCTCCAAGCGGTGCGGGGAAAGGCGGCTCCGCCCGGCCAGCCCCACCAAGGGGGCCCCGCAGGCTTCGCCGGGTCCCCGGCAGCCCGGCCGAGCCCTGCGCTCTCTTTAAAGCGAGCGTGAGTTTTGTGCATCGGCTTTGGCCAATTTGTTATGGTTTAAGGCTGTGGAGCCAGCTGTCTGCAATCTGATGTAATGTTGCCCTGGAAACCAGAAATGAAACACTTAAGCATTCACCACAGAATTACTACATACAGCATTAGCCAAAATAATTAAAAGTTGAGCCATATGGGCTTTCAGATGGAAAAATTTGGAGCGGAGGAGATGGAAGTTAAGTTGTTCCTATTTGCAGTACTGCAAATCCGTTTGTTTTCCCCTTGGAGCGTGGGGAGAGGCCTGCTCCGGCCGTGCACGGGGGGACGGGGAGGTGGAGGGGCCCTGGCTGTTCTGCCGGCGCATTAACGATGCTGAGGCTCGGCCTAATGGGTCGGCCATGTGCCAGGGGCTGGGAGGCGTTGGCGGAGGGGGGTGCGGCATGGCCTCCTCCCGTGCTGGAGAGCCTCCGGCCTGGCCTCTGAGAGACGCATCGTTCCCTCTTTCACAGACCATGTCTGCCCTTCTGCAGTGCTGCAGCGCACTGAAGCGCTTGTTAAGGAGGGACAGGACAAGAGGGAGGCTGGCAGCCGGCTGCGTCGAAGGCCTGTGCCAAGGCCTGGCTGCTAGAGCTGTCCAGGAAGCCATTTGCCCAGCCTGCCACACATTGGGGAGATCGGGGTGATTTTTTCCCATCTGAAGTCAGGGAGAGCCACCAAAAAAAGGAATTCGGTCACTGTGGAAGCGGGGAGGGTAGAGCAGGTCAGGGAAATCAAAGCGTCGAAGTTCAGTGATTTCCAAATATGTCGCTCATGGCCTGAATGCTTTACATGTCTGTTTTCTGTTTAATATTAGCTATAAAAGAAAGCAATTGCTTGAGCTGGAAAATTAAGCTCTGTTTCCCATGTGCCAAAATGGAAACTTTTGATAATTTCAAGTTCTTTTTAAAAAAAATTGTTTCAAAACCAGGAAGTGAATAAAAAATAACTGTCCTTCAAAATGTTTTCGTTTTCAAGGAATTGGCATTATTTGACAAGAAAGTTTCCTGAGCAGCACCACTGGCGTAGTCACCGACGTTTTGAGGCCATTTTACATAAACTTATTAGCCATCGTTTTCCTTTACAGAAGATTTTCCGTTCCACATGCTACCCAATATGATAGGAAATAGGCTGCTGGAGAGAGACTTACTTTTAGTCAACCCATTATCCAGCGTCTCCTGTTAAACATGAGCTGTTCTCGCCTCTCTCAGCCGAGTGCTAGGAAGGGTCAGCTGCTGCCTGCGGAGGACCACAGCTCAAAGGGTGCCAGGAGTCCTGAAATGGCAGGGAAAACCACTTGGTTACAGTGAGACTTCATTTATTTTGGAAGTGTGATGGTGACCCCCCTATATCACCCACTTGGGTTTGATGTCAGTACCTTACGCTGAGGCTGTCTTGGTGCTCGCTTGCTTTCATGGCGGTAGTTGTGAATGTAAATGTCAGATACCTGTGGCACAAAAGGAAGGCTAGTTGTTTATTCTTTGATGAAATCCTGGGCGGGAGGACCAGGTATGAGCAAGTCTTACAGAGCTCACAGTTTTACAAACCGTAGCCTTGCAAACTAAGGGTGTAAAAAAAGTAATGAAGGAAAGCAATGACCTAGAGTAATTGCATTTGAAATAAACGTATCTCGAGGGCAGGGTATGGTTGCTTGCCAGGATGTGCTTAATGGCCTGAGAAGTCTTGACCGAACTTTTTGGTTATGGTCAATAATCCATTTGTCATCTAATCTAAATATGTCTGTCTTGTTTGACATGTCACTAAGTTGTCCTAGCCATAATCTCTGAATTAATGCTCATCTTGCTGCTTAATTTATTTTGATAAAAGACATCTGGTACTCCTCTTTACAGCCCTATTTTTCCCCAAGGAAGATTATTAATTACCTAGTCGGCCTGTACCCGTAATAAACACGTTCCTGCAGCTTTTGGATGGCAGCAGAATGGCAATTCCTGCTGCCATATGTGGTCCATTTGGTATTCTTTCTTGTTTTGAAGTAACGTGATGTTTGTGGGAAATTGGTAATTGACAGTGCCCTTGCAGAAAGTGGCTGAAGTTTGCTCTGGTGTGGTTCTGCTGACCTTGCGAGGTGTGTGCCTGTGAGGCAGGCTTTCAGAGCTGCCGTAGCTCCTTCAGGTACTGTTTTGTGCCTTTCAAAGTGTGCTCATGCAACTGCTAATTGATGTCCTGCCCCATGGCATCTACCATTATTACCACATCCTGATATTTAAGTGTATTAGAAAAGCAGAAAGCATTTTTATATTTGGCCTTTTACTCAGCCTCCAGATAAGAAGTCAGCATTTTTGCTAGGGAAGAGGAGAGGGTGTTTGGATTTTTTTTGGCTTGCCTTTGTTGGGGATTTTCGGGTTTTTTAAAGGAGAAGGAGAAAAAAGGATGAGCGTGGTGTGGAAACCCAGATAGCTGTGCCGACAGGAAGTTGCATGAGGGTTTTTAGAGCTGACCAGTAGGAATGCGGCGAATTAGCTGGGACCACGGGTGAAAACAAAGTAAGGTATAAGATCCATACTACGCTCCAGCTGGAGCCTGGGCTGCACACAGGAATGTGCAGTGGAGTATGATGCCAGGGCTGTCCTGGCTGAGCCAGAGAGCACCGCTGGCCTCCTCTCCTCTCCCCTTCCCTTCCCATCCCCCCGCCGCCTTCCACATTCTGAACTGATTAAAACAGAGGAAGTAGCACATTGAACGTTGGATCTGGCTTGAAAATCGAAGTCGTCTTCTCGTTCACAAGGAATGGATTGTTTCAGCTTGTTGTGTCACTGCTGCTGGAGAGAGGGGAATTTTTTTTTGTCTCTGTAATGTTTGATACTTGAGGGAAAACAGCTGGAACTGAGCATACTGGATCAGATGCAAAACGAAACGGGATGCTGGGGAATATGGACTGCACTGTATATCTGAAAAGGTCAGAGTTTTCCCTTGGTCAGTGCTGGAGGAATGCTGTGTCCATCTTAATTCCAGCCTTGAGAGCCTTCAGGAGGAGTGTAGGGAGCAGGGAGGAGGAAAGGAGTATTTTGTAGCTGTGGCAATTCGTGAGCGAGGCAGATGAGGTCTCCTCCTTCCTTTTCCTTCCCGTCTCTTTCTTATGCTGCTGTTTTTGATTTTCTGGGAAGACTGGGGGGGAAAAAAAAAAAAGAGAAGTCGTCAATGACAGAGCTTCAGTTTGGAGAAGCTGTTTTTAACCAGGTTTAAACAGCAAGTTCTGAGATGCCAGACAGACCAGTGACTGACCCAAACCACAGGAGCATAACTGGTATGGTAAGAAGAGCCCTGGGAAAGAGCCCTGCCTGAAACGTACTGAGAGAGGACGTGGAAGTAGTTATTACACAATGCATGGGAAGAAAGACAAAAAGAATGCATTTCAGTGCCTAGGATCTTACGTTGCACAGATTTAGAAATCAAAATGGTATGTCATGCTTTCAGAAAAAGAAAAAAAAAAAGAAAAAAAGAAAACCCTCACTAATTTAAATGTTTCTGTCTGACCTGGGCGGAAAATATAACACCAGTTACAGAGCTGCATTGACACAGCGCAGCAGATGAGCTGGGTTAACTTGACTTGAAGGAGCATGCCGTGGAACTGCTACTTTATTAATATTCCCTTTGTTTCTTTGCCAGTCAAGAGAACAATCCGATGATGAAACAGAGGAGTCGGTGAAGTTTAAGAGGTTGCACAAGCTGGTGAATTCTACTCGCAGAGTCAGGAAGAAACTCATAAGAGTGGAAGAAATGAAAAAACCCAGCACAGAAGGTAAAAAACGTGTATATGGTTAAAACTGCGTGTGTGAATACATGTTTCTGTTGAGAAGGGACAGAAAGTGGAGGGCTGAGGGAGGGAGGGAGGGGTGGAGTGGAGTGTTCTTAGGGGACAGTAGGAAAGACTGCCTTGTCTATGGTGCATGCCTTACTCAAGTAATTACATTCTGAGATGTTGGAAGGAGGAAAGTGACAGTCTAGGATGTGGTTACTGCTGATCTCCTGGTATTCCCAGAGCAGCACTGGAGAGCCCCTCATTAAGAGATTAGAACTTGGTTTATGTTTTATGCCCCATGCTGGGGAGGGAATGAGACCAGGAGCAATCCCAGCCGGCTGCCTCGCAGGCTCAGCGAGGAGGTAAGCAGAGCCACCACCACATTGCTCCTTCCTTCAAGGCCTGAGATGGCACACAGGTGAAGCTCTTGCTAGTTTTGAGAGGGTAGCAGCTGGTTGGTGGTACAGTTGCGCCACATGGCATCATCCTCTGGCAAAAGTACAGAAACTCTATCAGACATTCTTGTGGGATAGCGACTGTGTTGTGTAATATTAACTCCTAATTCTGGGGGAGTCTGCTTGCAGTTTGGCTCCTGAATGAGCCCTGCTGCTGAGAGAGAGGGGGAGAGAAGGGAGGAGGAGGAGGGTGGGGAAACAGGAAGCAGAGTTCAGCCCCTGGGAATGCCATGCCGCAGAATTAACTCTGGATGACCTGTTTCCATGTGTGAGCACTCCGATTAACGGAGCCTGAGCCTCAGGAGCCTCTCTGCACAGCCCTGCTTGAGTCCTCACTGGAACTGTGGGCACCTCTCTATGTTAGTGGCCTTCCCAGGGTCATATGCCAATTCCCCTCAGCTTTGCAGTGAGCTCAGCCATATTATGATTTCTTCCTAGTGCATTTAAGGAGAACGTGTGCATCTTCTTCGGTATGTGGCAGGAAGCCCTTGGAAGATTTATGATATAGTCTGCTTTACTCCTGCATGATGATGGTGTTATTGACTGGCATGAAAGGCACAGCCAGTTAGAGCTCTGGACCAGGCAGCTGCCTTGGTCTGAAAAGGTTTTGTCACCTCATAGGATGAGCATAAACCTTGGTTACCTTGGAAGCAAACCCATGGTTTATGAGAAACAGGGCTATTTTTCCCTGCTCTGGGGAAGGGACCCCAGAGAGGCCTTTCCTACCCCTTCCCTCCCTGTGGGCTTGGGAAAAGCTGCAGGGAGCAATCAGCCATAGGCTCTGGGGTGGGAGCAGCTGCAGAAGCAGGCAGCCCAGGGGCCCCTGGGCATGCAGACGCTTTCCAGCAGTTTGACCAGACTTTCTCTCCAGCATGTTAACTATCTGTTCTGCTCTCTATTCGCTCTCTTACAGCACTTCACTTCCTTATTTCCTTTTCTCCTTTAGTCGTGGAATCATAGAACAATTTGGCTTGGAAGGGACCTTAAAGACCATCTAGTTCCACCCCACCTGCCGTGGGCAGGGACACCTTCCACTAGACCAGTTTGCTCCAAGCCCCAAGGGGCCAGCCACAGCTTCTCTAGGCAGCCTGTGCCAGTGCCTCACCACCCTCACAGTGAAGAACTTCTTCCTAATATCTAATCTAAAACTACCCTTTTTCAGTTTTAAGCAGCCTCATCCTATCACTACACTTCCTGATCAAGAGTCCCTCCCCACCTTTCCTGTAGGCCCCCTTTAAGTACTGGAAGGCCACTATGAGGTCTCCCTGGAGCCTTCTCTTTTCCAGGCTGAACAACCCCAAGTCTCTCAGCCTGTCCTCACAGGGAAGGTGCTCCAGCCTCATGATCATTTTCATGACCCTCCTCTGGACTCGCTTGAGCAGGTCCATGTCATTCTTATGCTGGGGTCCCCAGAGCTGGACACAGCACTGCAGGAGAGGTCTCGCGAGAGCAGAGTAGAGGGGCAGAATCACCTCCCCTGACCTGCTGGCCACAGTTCTCTTGATGCAGCCCAGGATGCAGTTGGCTTTCTGGGCTGCAAGCTCACATTGCTGGATCATGTTCATTTTGTCATCCACCAGCACCCCGAAGTCCTCCTCCCCAGGGCTGCTCTCGATCCACTCATCACCCAGCCTGTATTCGTGCTTGGGATTGCCCTGACCTATGTGCAGGACCCGTCTTTCACTTAAGTGTCCCAGTTCCATACAGGTTTTTTTTCCACAGTTTTCCACCCCTGCACCCCGCAGAAAAAAACAACAACCCTGAATTAATAGTTGTCGCAAAAAATTTTTTTCTCTGCTTCTTTCTCCATCTCCTGCCTGTCTTCTGTGTTTTAACTCCAGGCTTTTCTGAATAAATTATCTGTAACTCTGAGTTTGCATTTTATCTAGCACTCTGGAGTTCTTTGTAGATTATCTCTTGGGAAACTGCAGCAAAACCCATTATTGCTAAACAACAACAAGGATTACTTCTGCATAACTTCTACAGAAGCAGAAGGCCCCTTAAGCAGCCAAGTCTACATTAGGAGTAGATATCTATGACTTTTCTTTCAGTAAATTCTCCCCGTACCCAAGTTTTCATGTGGCAAATTAAGAGTGCTTCATAAACACTGTCCATCCCCTGTCTCGTAATGTAGGTCTGTGTTCCTGTTTGGGTATGTCAGATGGCTCTACAAAGTCACAAAAAATACTGTGGTCAGATTTGGGGATTGCTGTCTGGCCTTCCAAGTTACCTGCGATTGACTGGACCAGTTCTTGAGCTTTTTGCTGCTGCTACTTGCATCTGTGTTACAAATGTGAAGTAATGTGAAATTCTAGATGGCTAGGTTTTGGGGAGTTGGCTATAAAATTTGATTGAGTAACATAGTCAAAATTCAATAAATTCTTCAGTGTTCAACAGCCTTTAACAAAGTGTGAGCGTAGGCTTGGTTTGAAAACTGACGTGCCATTCCCCAGAAGAAAGATTCCTCATAATCCTCCTGAAAAATTTCTTCACAAAGAATAACTTTGCCAGATTTCCCTTATATGTTCCTGTATTTTTAATGAAATGTACACTAGTCCCATATCCTTCTCCCACATTTCTACTGTTGACTTTGTTATCACACTAAGTATACATCCGAATGATCTGATACTCACTAGAAAATGCCAATATCTGAATCCATGTGTATTTTGTGTTAGTCTGCTCCTAGTGAGTTAAATAACTGAAGCTTCCTAATTCCTAGGCACCGTTCTTAAATAGCATTTAAAAACAAATCACATCTACATCTGTGTCATTATGGCTTTGTGTCATGGACTCACTCCAAATAACATCTGTTACAGTGTTGACACACAATGCATATTTTACAAGCTGTTTAAAAACATATTTACTCAGTGGACTAAAATTGTTTATCAGCACATATTGAGTCCCAGGAGTGTCTATTTTCTGTTCAAATTGGGAAGTAGACAGGGAAAAGACCAAGTTGGACAATCCTGTAGTGAAAGTTGTGTCAAAATCAGACTCCAGTCTACAGACTTATCCCAGAAGAGTTCCCAAGAGTGAAAGTTGTGTGTCAGATGTGATCCACCATCCCTTCACTGTTACAGCGAGTTTCATCTTGGTAAAATAGTATTTTTGGTGTCAGGTACCTTTTGCCAACAGAGTGAACTGAAGGTGAGACAGGAAGCCTGTACACGGCAACTAATACTGATTCATCTTGAAACGTATTCCCTGTTACTGAGTTCAATAGATAATAGGTATCTTGGTAATGGTTGAAATTTAGCTGTGCTGAAAGACTGTGGAAGCAATCAAAGATGAAGGCAAAGCTGGGACAGGCAAGAAAATCCATTTTGGCAAGAAATAAATACAGTCACATTTCTGTGTCTGTTTCTGATACATATCTGTGAATGCTATGAAATTTGTCAGGCAGGACTGAGGAGGATGTGTACTCTTGTTTGACTCTTTCCTTGTTACTAGGCATCTAATACCTGAGCCTATACTTTGCTTAGAAGAAAGCACCAGAGAAAAGTTTCTTAAATGATAAATGTGAAAAGGAATTGGAATTTCAGGTCCTTTATTGCCTTCACTTCAAAAAGGAGACCTGGCTGTTTGTCCATCTCCAGTACTTCTATTGCAAAAAGTCGTCTTCCCTTTCTGCAAAATATGTATCTGGTGAAAACCAAGTGTTTCTGTCATTACCAGGACACTGTTGAAATTGGCACACCCGCAATTTGACCTACTTTTTTTGTCTTTGCATCTGTGTGATTAAAACTGGTGTATCCTCCCCCATCAAAAACCCAAAGCTTTTAATTTCATCCTGGAGCTAAGCTCTCTAACTTTCTGGGGAAAATACTGCTTTCTGCTGCAGCAGCAGCAGCACTGGGCATTGCAAAACTGGACTTGAGAGGTATTTGCTTCGTTTTTAATACCTGGGTATACTTCTGACCTATTGTGATCTCACTAGAGCTCAGCATCATATGCACGTATCAGAAGAAAAACATGAGAAAGAGATCGCAGCTCCAGCTTTTAAGGGGTTCTTAGTGAGAGAACTGGTCTTACTTCGCTGCAAAGGAAAGGGAGAAACTTAAAATAACAATGAGTTTACTTACAGGATGCTGTCATCTGTCTACTGTTAGCTCAACACAGAACTCCCACTTCACAAATAGAAGGAACTGCTTCAGATTTATCCACTCGCAAATCCCTTCTGGGCTGCTTGTATCAGGAAGAGTTTTCTTCCGTTTTAAGTGGGTGATATCTTAAATAAATACAATAAGGCTTTTCAGGGAAACATCTTAGAGAATTATGAACAATGACATGCATTGCGCTGCTTTTGTCCCCTGTAGGTGTGGAAGAGCACTCACTTGACAACTCTCCTATACTGGATGACAGATCGGCACTTTACTCTGGAGTTCACAAGAAGCAATTCTACTTTGACAGCTCCTGTGAGAAGCAGCCAGAGGATGACTCGGACTCACTTACTACTTCTCCCTCATCCAGCAGTCTTGATACATGGGGAGCTAACCGGAAGCTGGTGAAGACCTTCAGCAAAACTGATAGCCGTGGCCTTATCAAGCCTCCCAAGAAACTCGGGACATTTTTCTCTTACCCAGAAGAGGAGAAGACCCAGAAAGTTTGCCGCTCCTTGACAGATGGGGAAATGAAGAAGAGCCTCGGCTCTCTGAGCCATGGGGTAAGTACAGAAAGCATTTGCTTTTATGACAGCAACAGGCACAAGCACCATCTTCTGGTGTCCCTGGAGGAGATTCAAAGTGTAAGGAAGCAGATCCGATTGAAGAAAATGGATACTAACTATTCCTGTTCCAGAGCTTTTCTTTGCCAGCGCCCTGCTAGGAAAGGAGCATCCCCTGCAACTTGCGACCTGCAATTACTGCGACACAAAGCGAAAGGGGGTGGAGGTTGTGGCTTCCCAAACAGAAGGCTACGAGGGCGCACTTCTGTCAGCGAGTTCAATATTACCTATGTGGTGGAGAGAAGCCTGTACAGTCACCTCAACCTCTCACAGCTGGTGCGTCCCGTTACTGACAGGACCCTGAGCAAGGCTGACAAGCAGGACCTGAGGAGATGCCTGCTGGAGGAGGATGAGGAGGCCAAGAGGAAGTGGGCTGCCACAGTGGATCGCTGTACTAAAAGGGTTCTCTTGAGAATCCACCAAAAGTCTGTGAGTCAAAGAGTTGTCATGAAGGTGGTCTTCAGTTTCTGTGAGGTTGCAGTCAACACTTCTGCTTTCTGTTTTTAACTAAAATTCAGTGCTTCTGCTTTCCTTGCCGTTAGAAACTCTTAAGCGCTGTAATTCAGCTGTAAGGGAAGACTTTGATATAATCCCGTCAGAGAAAAGTTTTGTTGAGTCTGCAGTTTCAATGTGTACAGAACAACTCAATGAAGAGAGAGAAAATACGACTAAATGCTACTTCTTAAATTCACCTGGTGCAGAAATTGAGATCACTGGTGAACAGAGGAGCTTTGAGATGCTATAATCCCGTTCTTTGCAATGCTTTGGGAGTCGGTATTCTCTTGAAGCGATACCAAGAGATGAATTTTCAGAGGATTGGAGCATACTTAGTCAGCTGTGCTCTGTTTCTCTCCTGCTGTCGTTGTCTCATATTGGCCCTCCCCTTCTCAGTTTGCATCTCATCAATTCACCCACCCAGCTCTATATTCTCTGTTAGACACGCAGCTGCAGAAAGGCAGGGAGTTTTACGTTATGTAGACACTGCCCTCCTGCTTGCTGCTCACCACCACCAGAAGTGTCCCTTCTGCTCTCTCTCTGGCCACTGCTTCCTCTTTCTAGCATGGAGGGAAGGTGGCACTTCCCTCAGAGTGTTGTGGGAAGGGAACAAGGGGTGGCCAATAAAAGAAATTGTGCTGTACAATTGGAAATTAAGTGACATGAGCGCTCCAGAGAGATCCAAAGCTGCTTCCTGATTATATGACCCAGTTTTGAGAGTTCCCTTAACCATGATGCTGAGTTTCCCAGGAACTTACCTTTGGGGCCAGCCAGATCTCCAAAGCTGAGCCAGCTAGTCTGTTGTCTAGTTGACAATGTAGATATGTCCCTTACTTTAGTGAGTAGAAACAGCAGTGCACCCATAACGTTAAGCAAGATAGTCCGGTCAACAATACAGTAGAAACTGCTTTTCCTCTTGAAGTACAGGTTGTATTTTGAGAGGCCTCTGCTTCATTTCTTCAGTTGTGAGGTATTCTTGATATAAGAGTCACAGCCTTGGTCTCCTTGAATAACCTTTGCAAGGTGACCAGGCCTTCATGGTTCACTTTTTGCTCTTTGGCCATAAAATAGTCTTTTTCTACCCAATACCATGAATGTTCTCTCTTTGCAGCTTCACTATTTCTTCTGCATTGACTGCTTGCCCTGCCACTCACAGGGTACTGTTTATTTTCATAGACGTTGTCTCAAAAGACATGGTTTTCCCATAAGGATATTACAATGATAAGAGAAACCTTACTTGTCCTTCTGTGGATTGAGTAATAGAGGTACCTCAGGCAGAAAAGCATACTGGTATGTGCTAGAGATGCCCTATAATTAAAAATAAAAAAACTTTCAAACTTTCTTTGTAAATACAGATGACAGAAACAAGCTTTTCAGCTATTCTAATAAGTAGCCTTGCTATAGGATTTAGTTATGAGAACCATGTGGACTGACTTCTGCTAATTCACAGAGATACAAACAGAGAAGAAATGGGTAGCATTTTGTTGTTGTTGTCGAGGAACTCCTCAGTCAACTGTTTCTCGTTTGAATGGGATGAATGGTGGAGACATGCTGCTCTTACTAGCTTTTTCTATACACTTTATCCTGAAACCGCAAAAAGCTGGCAAACTTCAACTAATGCCACTCCTTCCTAGAAACACTTAATGTTTGTTTGCTGCAACCTCAGGGAAATTGCAATGCCGATGTATTCAGTGGAACTGGTCACTGTCTTGCCTTGCCGTTCATTTTTGTCATTTATATTTGTTTCAGTGACCTGGACATGCATGAAATTTTCAAATCGCATCAGTTTTTCTTTTCTCCCAAAACAGTAATACTTCTGACTGCATGGCCATTCCATTGAATATCCCTCTCCTCATCCACAGACCTTTTGTTTGGTACAGTATTGCCAGAGTCGCTACTGGAATCTGAAGGCAGAAGTCAAATGTTAGATGTATAGGGAGGTCCATAATGAAACAATAAGCATCGTTAATACGGTACGTTTATTCAGAAGCTTTTAACCAACAGACATTTTGTTCTCCAAGAAGGCTGCTTTAGGAGGAGCTCTGGCTGGTTTGACAGACAAGTTTGCTCAGAGCAGTTCCAGATGTCCTCTCTTTGTTGCTGGGATTATGATACGCTGTAGGATTAGTTAGAACGGACTCTTCGCAGAAGGATGACATTACTCATAGCTAAACATGCTGTGCCTTAAAAACTGGTCTTATTACTTGTGGTTGGTCTCAAATGCTTTCCAAAAACAATTTTTAAAAGCTATGCCATAGTCACATTGCCTTCTGGAAAAAAAACACTTAAAAAAAATTCTGCATCACAGCACTCTTTTTAATGTGTGTGGGGCCTAGACAAAGCTGGCTTTGAGTTCTAGTAGGGTTGTGGTGGATACACAAACCGTCATCCAAGCACTGTAGGTACACAGTACCCAACATAAAAGCTAGAAAAGAAAACGTTTTAAAAGCTGTTAATATGTATGCTGATTAGCGTTGAACAGGGCAGGAAGATCATTTACTTTAGTAGAACTAATCGATATAATGATTTATTAAGTGGCACAGTTTATAGAGCTTGCTTATTCCTAATAGAGTGTCGAAGCAGACCAGTAGCTCTGAGGCGGTGGGTCTTCGCTGACTACCTACTACACACTCACAGTACTGATTGGGCAATCCGTTGTAGGTCTGATCAGATGCTTAGCTGAGTCTTCAGGTGTCTTTGAAGTTACTCTGTTGGATAGTTCAGGCCCTAAGAACTTAGGGTTCGCAAGTGGTTGATCTTCTGCCTCCTGTTTGTCTCTGTTCTTAAGTCTGAAGAGAATATGTTGTAATAGACATCTGCCTGTCTCAGAACCCACACTCAGAGCCTGGAGTTGAAGTTGGGCAAGTAAATTGTAGCTGCCATGCCTTTGTTTCCCTTGATTGCCCTGTGAGATTTCCAGCAGAGCCAGGTACTTGAGTACTGTGCAGCTGGTTGTTCAGTGGCCAAATAAAAATTCAAAGGTTTAACCTTTTGGATTGCAAAGCAAAAGCTGGATTTTCTCGGAGCCCCCTGGAGTGTCTGGTCTTCTTTCAGGTGCTACCAAAGCTTCAGGAGAGACTCATCTGCCGCAGTTAAACAATGGTTGGCTGTGGAAATGCAACTGTGCTGTTTGGTTGCCCTCTGCTTTTCAGAGGGAAGCAGTGTCATAGGGCTGATTTTCTTTTTTTTATTCAGGATGAGTATGGTAAACTGCACCTGTGGATTCAGTCAAAAATGAGTCCCTCCACTAGGTGATTGTGGCGCTGGAAGTGTAGCGTACCTTCCCCCAGAAGTAGCAGAGCTGCCACATATCACCACAGGTGTGATGGCAAATACCTAATCTGGAATCAGGGCTTGCTGAGTCTCTGGGGACACAATGCTCACGGATAGCTGGGCTGTTTTTTCCCCCCTCTTACCAAGGGCTTGCCCTACAAGGCCTCTAGCGTTTCCCTGCATTTCAGTGGAAAATGAGTCTATGCAGCTATTCCCAAAAGGTAGGTTATTCAGTGCTATAAAAGATTGGCAGTTCTCTGTTTCAGTGCCACTGTGGACTTTTTTTATGAAGGCAGATGGGAGTGCTGAGGTGGAGTTGCCAGCACCCTGGAAAACTTGGTGCATAAGATCAACAGTTTCCTTAGACCAAAAAGTCTTTTTTTTTCTTTTTAAAAGATCAATAGATGACTCAACAGCAGCAGACCTTAGGCCAAGGAGTTGTCTCTGGAAAAGACAGATGACTCAAATTACTTTGTAACAGATTTCTTGATTTATAATCTCCCATCCTTTTTTTTGTTTGTTTGTTTCCATTTTTGCAGACATTTGTGTTTTCACTGGCGTTATCCAAATCACAGCTGTTTTGAGTGAGCTAATCATTGTGATAGAACTGTATCCATGTGTTTTTTTGCAGAGAACCTGTAGCTTTGGAGGATTTGACTTGACAAATCGTTCCCTTCATATTGGAAACAGTTCTGACCAAGTGGTGAGTTTAAAGACAAGAAGGCACAGACTTGAAATAGTATAAAATGACATGCGCAATAGAGTTATAATAGACTGAAGTATAATTTAGGTCTGTAATAACAGCTTGGGGATCCAAGAAAGCAGAGTATCTTTGTTAACCTCGAACTTCCTTAGCTTTGAGAATAACATACCCACCCATATCCATGTGTGTGTAAGTATTTATATACCATATGTGTAAAGAGGCAGGAACAAGTGATCAAAGCGCAGATCTGGGGGCCCATCTGGGGGCTATTCTTATGTCTGACTTCCTCAGAGCATCACCCCAGGCAAAACATGCGATTACTATACCTTCTTGGTAAAAATATTTACTCTTTGGAATGATGAGGCAAACTTTCATTTGCTGAAGATCTGCAAGTTATTTGGGTGGAAGTCATTATGTAAGAGATTTATTATTTGTTTTCTCATTGTAGCTAAGAGCTCTGGAGTAGACCAGGGTCCCATTGTGCTGGGTGCTGCACAACTGATCCCAGAGCTCTATGTGTTTTAAAAAAAAGACACCTCCCTTGAGAATTAATTCCATTTTATGTTGCTCATGTTGATCCCAGTGTTACTGTTGGCCAGCCTGTGGCCAAAAATAACAGAACAGAAATGAGCCAGAACATTCTATCAAATGAAATTGCCAACATATTTTTTCCTTTTGCCCATATATGTTTTTCTTTTCTGTTTCAAAATTGAGTCTGATAACGTCTGCATTCACTTAAATCAAGTCTAAATTGTGAAATATTTTGTATGCCAGCATTATATTATTTTCTATGTCAGCTGGGTTTTTTGATATTGTTTTTGGTTTTCTGATTTTTTTTTTTTGACATCATGAATTACCCCTAAATTAGCCAAAACTGTGGGTGGTTATTTTATTCGCCAATTTTCAACTCAGTAAAAAAAGTCGACTTCCAGACTTAGTGTTTATTTTCAAACTTAGATAATTCACCGTATTTTGTTCAGATTGGTTTGATATAGGGAACTGTGAAATCTAGATGTTATATTTTTCCCTGCTAGCATCAGTAGTGGGAGAGATGCAGTGCATCAGAATAATGTTTGTAGATCAAGGGTTTTTTTCTTGAAAACATTTAAGTTTATTAAGTGGACGTTTTTTTTCCAAAAAGATAAGGCAAAGAGCTGATCTTAATTTCTGCTAAAAGACCAAAAGTTGCCAAAGAAGTTTTTAATCACAAAAAACTTGCAAAGGAAAAAAATATAGAATTGTCAGAAATGAAGTATCAGCTGAATTTCGGAGAAATTTTTTGGGAGAACATTAGTAAAGTAGCAAACAGATGAATTTAGGAAAAAAGATAAATCTTTTATGTAGAATGTAGTGTACGCTTGTTTTAGGGTTTGTTATCTTATGTACCTAAATTGTCCTCAGAAGGATTATTGAACCAAGTCAGAGACCAAATTCAGTAGTCCATCTGTTTGGCCAAACAGATTTTGGTCCTTTTGCATTGCTATTTTTCGTGCACGCTTGCCAACGGAGGGTGCTGGTAGAGCTGCCTTGCTGTGGTTCCTGATGCACTGTAGGACAAAAGACCACATTTAACATGCTGCTTGGACAATCAGAATAAGGGCTGAGTCATACAAGTAAGCTTGGCAAAATGTCAACTGGTCCATGTTCATTCTTTCTGTGTGCTTGTGGCATAAGTAAATGCTAGGTGTCTTAAGCTGGTTTGGGAAAGGTTAAATGCGTTCAAAGCAGCTGGACTTTGTCCACTATATATATGGACCAGCTAATTTAGTTTAGCATACCCTGTTGTGTGTCTTAAGAATAGCTGTGCAAGTGTAACCTTCTACCATGGTTGATGGATTTAGTAGCTTTTTCTTTTTTTGCATTTTTTTGTAAAACCGCAGAGCTGGTCATCAAGAGAGGTGAACTGAATGCCTGTCTGAAAATAAAAAGTAAATGTGGGTAGCCAAATGTAGGTATCCATATATATATATATATGTGTATATATATATGTATATACACAGATAGATGTTTGGCTAGGATCTCAAGAGGTACCTTTACTCCTGTTAAACTGTATGTAGTATTGATCAACGTGAGCCATGACTACTGTTGTATGTCCTGTCAGGAGATCTTAGCCTGAAATGGTGGAGTTTTCTATCAGGTCAAATATTTAGCCAAAACTCAAAGGGCTAAAGGTATCCTAACAGACCCCAACCCATCTACACACAGTAGCTGCAGTAAACACTGCAAGTCGGGCCTTAGGGATGAAGTACGGTCGTCTGCTACAGTGGTTTGCACAAGGTCTCAACAGAGAATTTCAGGCAGTAAACAGAGCACCATGCTGCCGGCTTGTGTCTGTCTGGGTACCTCTGCAACGGCTGCTGACTGAGGAAAAAAAACGGGTCTTGTATTTTATAGGCTTAAACCCTGTTTTATTTTGCAGGGCAAAGAAGGAGACTTCGTTTATAAAGAAGTGATCAAATCACCCTCTGCGTCCCGTATATCTCTGGGTAAAAAGGTGAAGTCTGTAAAGGAAACCATGAAGAAAAGGATGTCTAAAAAATACAGCAGCTCTCTGTCTGAGCAGGTATGTAAGGTCTGCAGTGGAATCCACATAATAGTGTAGAAGTGATAATCAATATTGATTCTCATGCTTCAAGGCATCTCTGAAGAAATTTCTAACGAGACTATGTGGTGTAGCTTATTCCTGCATTATAAAATCCCTCACTGTGAAATGCCTTCCTATAGATGCCAAGCCATGAAAATGCATTTTCAGGTTTTCATTCAGGTAGCTCATCAGGAGGAGCCTGTGGTTGATGGCATTACACATCTCGCTCTCTATTTCCATTTCTTTATCCATCATCATTATTTAGTAAGGGAACCAGTCTGTGACACAGGGTCACAGTGATATATTTAATCTGCAATTTACACCTTAGTTTAAATTCCCAGCATAACTTCACATACACAGTTCCTCTCTGCTGTTACAGATCTTTGCTCCGTCATCACTTGCCCTCTGCATCAGCCCATCAAAACAGATGCACAGTGTAGTCAGAAAGGGGCATCCCACAGAAGATTTTCCTGTTACTCTTTCATTACAGATGTTTATAGCTTATTCTTAAAGGCAAACCTGAAGTACATTAGTTGTGAAGTAGGCTTTGAATTTCAGTGGCCTACGAGCAATTGCTGTCTTTTTCCCTTTTGGTATACTTCGGGTTCCTTGCTTCGGTGGAGCGTCAGAAATTCTTCCGCATTTGTTTAAAACCGATCTTGCCGCTCGAAACGAGTAAGTAGTCGCCTCGAAAGCCGCCGGGCAGGCCGAGCTCTGCCTGGCTGACATCGCCCCCAAGCGGCCCCGGGCCGGCCGCTGGCTGCCCGGGGTGCCGGCCGCCGGAGGAAGGGCAGCGGGGAGGGAGCGGTGCCCCAGCGGGCCTGCCCTCCGCAGTGAACGCAAAGCCTTAGCGCCTCTGAAGGGAGCCGTTCGTGACATTCCAAACAGCAACCCCCGACTGCAGAATCTGGGGACAGCACAGAGAGGCAGAAACGTGACCTGTTTTAATGCAACGCTTTGCAACGTTAGAGTCCCTTTCCTGTAGGACTTAGAGGTGTACTTAGTCGTAACCAGGGGCAGTTATGAGTATTCAATTTAAATTTACAATTAAAACATTTTAAGGTCTAATGATTTGATACTGATAAGAAGATGCTGTGGTGTCTGACTGGCCTTACAGCGCCCCTCTGCAAAGTCTGCCTAAGAAAGGGATAATTTGAGAAATAGGCTTACAGCGAGTTAGCAATACTTCTGCTCTCTAGCTCTTTCCAAGATTGACTTGACCTCTGAAGTCATAAGCTGGGATGACTTTTTTTTTTCCCTGATGATTCTGCAGCGTGCAAATAATAGCTTTTATCTGAAAGTTTTATGACCACACATCTCCACAAAAACTCTTCTTGTATGCAAGCTACAGTTCTTTTGTTTTCAAACTTTCTGGCACAATTGTTTTAGAATATTTGTACCTTTCTGGCATCATGACTCAAACTATGTGCCAGTATCTCTTTTTGCATTCAAAAAAAACCGAGCACAAGCTATTCCGACCACAAGTATGTGCTGCTTTGCTGTAACTGTGCTTCACAGACGCTGACAGTATTTCAATTTAGTAAAGACCCTTTTTGATTTCCTGCAATGCTTGACTGAATGAAAAGAGAAATTGCCTCACCTATTGCATATGTAGCAAAATCATTTTATGTTTATGCTTTTGAGTATTTATACTATGCACAGGCTGCATTTTCTGGTTAATTCATTTTTTCCGGCTAAACAGGCAAAGATATCAGCAATTCATTGCAAAAAAAAAGTACATTGCTGTGTGTCTCACTTGCATTGTCTGATTTGTTTGTGTTCGTCTTTGTACAAAATCCTGATTCAGAAAGCTGAATTTGGCATTAGCTGTTTTGCAAGTACTGCTGGCAAAAATACCATGTGTCATTAAAACCTTTGAATTGGGAGTTCTGTGTAATGTTTCTTTCTACTTACAATGCTAGCTTTTCCAGACTGGATTATTTGCTCCTGTCCCCGCTATCATGCCCAATAAAGTGGGGCTTCTGCCACAGCTGAGTACCACTAAATAAGTAGATAAATACAGAAGGTTTAATTCTGTGTGATAAAGAACAGGAAAACAGAATCTTTTTCCTTGAAAATGAATGAGCAGCTCCTGTCACTGCCTGTCTTCCTTTATCAAACTGAAATGGTTCAATCCCTTTCAGGAGTCCAGCCCTGGGGTCATGCCGGGTTCTCCACAGTCACCGCCACCAGACACTGACCCCCTGGACAAACCCAAGCTGAAAGCCGGTGGCTCAGTAGAGAGCCTGAGGAGTTCCTTAAGCGGTCAGAGCTCAATGAGTAAGTTCGGTTGTAATTCCGTCGCTCTATTTCTGTGGCTTCAGGGAGCAGAGATCTCCACAGTAAGCAGAATCGGAGAAGGTCGAAGCAGAAGCAGTGGTTAAAAAGTAGAAAGGCTGGTGGGTTAGTCATTAAGGGTTTACAAAGAACCGTAAGCTCTTTGGTGCAGAGACAATCTTTTTTGCTTTGTATTTCTACAGAGCGCTAAAAAAGTGAAATCCTGCTTTCTGCCTGAGTCTGCTGGGTCTTGCTACTATAATATAAATGATTGGAGTGAGAATTACAGTCCCCGGCCAGTAGTAAACACGCTCATCGTTACACTAGATTTCTTCTGCGCACTCCTGATGGGCTTCACACCCCTCTTCCAGAGAGACCTTGAGGTTCTCTCATTAACTAGCTAGAGAATTATTATTTAAAACCTCTCTGGTTAAGACTGTCTCTGCCCAAAACAGTGCTTAAGTGGGACACAGATGGTGTGAACTTGCTTCACTATGAATTACTGACCAATATAAACCAAGGACATGTGTTAGTAAAAAAACCTGAAGAGAAAGCTCCAAGTTTAAATAACTGAAAGTGTATTCTGAAAATCATCTGTGGATTTTTTGTGGGGTTTTTTGTTTGTTTGCTTGTTTGTACTATCAGTATGAAGTGTTGCCACAAAACTGAATTTCTGGACACGAAGGGGATTCTAGAACCCTCATGCAAGATTCAGGGCTTATCTTCCTCACGCCACTATGCTTTTGTGTGGGCAAAACTTCCCAGAAAGATGACATCTCCTGTGATGTGCCATAGATGTGACACTAGTTAAACAGCTTCTCGGTTAAATATTGAGAAGCTGAACTTGGGAAAACAGGAGTGCAAAGTAGATTAACTAACTCTCCCATCACGTGTGTGTCTAAGAAATAGCGGCGTTTAAGGACTTTTAACTTTGATTACCATGTTTTGTAGAAAGAAGACCCATTTTCTGTCTTGCATCTGTTTGTTTCTGGTTGTTCTTCACAAAAAGATTCTTTCTTTGTGGACTGATACTATGTCTGTCACACAGGTGGTCAGACAGTGAGCACAACAGATTCCTCAACCAGCAACAGGGAGAGCGTGAAATCAGAAGATGGTGATGATGAAGAGCCTCCTTACAGAGGACCTTTCTGTGGAAGAGCCAGGGTTCACACTGATTTTACTCCAAGTCCTTATGATACAGACTCTCTGAAGCTCAAGGTACCAGCTACATCTGTTTTTAAGGGGTCAAACATTTATTTTGCCAAAATACTTAAGAGCTCTTTGCAAGAACTATGCGGTTCTTAGCCTTTTAATGAGTTTACATGTGGTTTTGAAGCCCTTTAACCTTTCTTATTCTGAGACATTTAAGATTCACTTGAATGACAGCAAAATGTTATACACCATGAGTATTAGTGTTTCTCCACATCCAGGGAAAGACACTTGCGTCTTTAGTTTCTGGAAAAACGAAAATGTGTGGCAAATTAATTTCCATTTTGCAAGGATTTTGTCTGCAAGACTGGAAAAATACTCTTGTCTGCCACAATGATTTAATCCATCAGTGGAAGAATTTTCAAAACCCTTGGAAGAAATGTGGATTCGCCTCCACATAGTGTCTCTTAAAGGCGTTTCAGTTAATATAACTTGGTTTGAGTTAATATTGAGTTACTTCGCTGACTGTGAGTTGTCACACACCTCCCCCCCTTTAAATTTTCTGGGTATCAGCTTTTATTATTTTTAGTTGTGCTGTATTCAGTTCAAACTATCTGACTCCTTACATTCATTACTTAAAATTCCGAGGGAAGCTCATTGCTGTTAGAGCAGAGGTAATCTCTGAAGCATACAAAACCAGTTGTGTGTCCATTTCTTTGTTGTGGTCATGAGCGCATTAGAAGAAGCAACAGCTTTTTCTGCATATGCCTCCTTTCCTCAGGAGATCTGATGTGAGATTGTGACCATATATACTGGCCGTGTTCTTAATTTGCACCGGTTTCAGAGAGTTGCCCAGCTTAGGGACGTACAAAACAGCAGAGATGCGCTAGTGAGGTGTAAGCCGGTTTGTGAATCTGGACAGTTGCGGTCCATTCCAGGTTCTTTTGTTGACTTGCTCTTTGGTTTTAGGCATGTCACTTAATTCCCTTCTCTTCTGTTTGTAAAACAAGTATAATCAGACATTTTTGCAAGAGCTGTGGTTAACCTTTTGAAAACTAAAGAGAGTTGTACATGAAAGTCTTAAGAGAAAGTGCGTGTTATTTGCTTGAATATCCATCAGAAAGCATGCCTAAGTGGCTTTCTTGCTGCTTTGGTCTGCAGAAAGGTGACATCATCGATATAATCAGCAAACCCCCCATGGGCACTTGGATGGGCCTGTTGAACAACAAAGTTGGCACTTTCAAATTTATCTATGTGGACGTGTTGAACGAAGAGGAAGAGAAGCCAAAGCGGCCCACCAGGAGGCGCCGGAAAAGCAGGCCACCCCAGCCCAAGTCAGTTGAGGATCTCTTGGATCGCATCAACTTAAAGGTCCAAATTCTCTTATACTGTTTACCCTTCAGTTTTGCTTGTGGGAAGGGGGGCACACCTTTGGAGTTGCTAGTTTTGAAAGCTGCTCACCGGGTTCGTAATCCTATGGGCTGTACCACCACTTAGCAGAATTGGGTCTTAGCTGCAGAGCAAAAATAGCTGAGGGCAGGCAGAACTGCCTGTCAGGCTTGATGAAGTGCTGCAGGCTGCGAGTTGTATGCACTGGGAGACTGTAAATGGTTGCATAGTATGGCTACACTAGCTCACACACTTCAAAAGCAAGCAAAAAGTGTAAAATAACAAGATTTCCTGTCTTTAAAGTGGAAGTTTTTTCCACGTTTCTATTCAGAAGAGCTAGGGATAGACTGGTGCAGCTGTCATTCACCCTCTGTACTTCTCCCTTTGTACAGAGCTGTGCCATGTCGTGTGTCTGGGTAGTATGCTACCCAGGCCGTTTAGTACAGTGCATTCCAAACACGAAAATATGTGCAGCATTGTAGTTCTGGCACAGCTACCTCCTTGAACTCTGAGCAATGTTTATGCAAGCTAAAATCCTATAATTTTGCTGTTATACAGTGGTTTGCATTTGCTAAGCTACTGCTTTTTTTTGATGGTTGTGAAAATCTCTTCTAGTATCTTTATTGACAAAATAAGTTGAATAAATATGTTGTCTTACAACTCTTCTTTTTTTTTTTTTTTTCCTTTTTTTTTTTCCTTTTATGCAGGAGCACATGCCCACTTTCCTGTTCAATGGTTATGAAGATCTGGATACATTTAAGCTTTTAGAAGAAGAAGATTTGGATGAACTGAACATCCGAGATCCTGAGCACAGAGCTGTTCTCCTTACAGCAGTGGAACTTCTACAGGAGTATGATAGTATGTGGGATGTTTGAGGTTTTCAATTTTACTAAAGGTCTGCCAAGAACCTTGTGAACCCCTTAAAGCAGAAAGCCGGTTCCAGGATTTTGATCTTTTTTTTTTCCTAATCTAGTTATTTCCAGGGTAATCCTGTGTAAAAACACACAGATTTTTGAGGAGTGACTTAAGACTTACATTTGTTCTGCCAGAATTCTTTTGTTCATGTAAGCCCTGCTACTCAAGCAGCTTGCTCAAGTGATGTCAAGTGTACAACACATACCTTCTAGAGTACTGATGTTCAGGAATAAATCCTGAGATAAGCTACTCAAAATAAGAACCTGAGGCATGGAGAGTAGGAAAGAAGAAACTTCTAGACTAAAGGGAAGAGATTGAGGTTATCGAGGGTAAGAAAAAGATCAAAACCCAGAGGGCTGTGGAGTATTTAGTGTGAATTAAAGTTTCTCGTATTTTATCTGCGCATGCATACGTTTCTTGGACTGTGAGTTGCAGGATCGTGCAGGTGTCTTCAGGTTGTACACGTGACAACACAGTGATTTTCAAAGAGAGAAAATACTGGTCGAGTGCAAAGAGTGAAAGACAGTGACCCAACTATCTGAGGTGCAGCAGTGCGATTCTGCCCGTTGCACAGGTGATCTCAGGCAAGTGGTTGCAAAGACGAGGGAAAGCGGAGTTACGCCACGGCAGTCAGATTCGATGGCGTCTTTGCTGCACAGGAGGAAGCGGGGCTGTGTCATCCACGCAGTAGTCATGGTAGAGTAGAATCCTTTGAAATGCAAGTGTAGCTTGAGACAGGAGTTTAGAAGGGCTCGATATCTAGTAGCAGCAACCTCAGACAGTACTGAATTTCCCCTTCATCCCTAAGTGTCAGCAGAAATTTAGTATCCCACCGAGCAGAATCAGTGGAATGGATTTTGTGAGGGCTTCCTCAGCTGCTTCTGTGCAAAATCCTATGTTTTACCTTAAACTGCTGTAACAGCAATTTAAACAGCTGCTTATTAAATGGGCAATGCTTAACTCTGTTGTTGTTATAGAGAGATGTGTGGTTCGTATCTCTAGACAGTGCTGTGTGGCCTGAGTGTTCACTGACAAGTAGCTTGCTTTTTCATTTCATTTCCCAAAGAGGCATCCATGCTTTCTCTGCTCTCCTCTACCCCCCATTAAAACTGCAGTTGCAGAATTTGATTCTTTTCACTTATATCAGAGTAGCTTTTTGTCACCTAATATGAACTTCTCTTCATTATTTGCAGACCTATTCAGAATGCTTACTTTCCTGAAGTAATTTTTTTAGGGCCCTTCAATTTTGGTTTGAAATCTTGAAGAACTATGTGATGTGGTGATTGGAAAGTATAAATTCCAGCTCCAAGTCAGGATGATGAGGAGAAAGAGAAGCGGGGACCAGACAGCTGGAACGTGGGAGGGGCAACAGCACTTAGTTCCACCCCATAATTACCTTTCATGTGTTGAAAATAGAGGAGTCTAAATAGACATTTCTGACATTTTACTGCAGGGAAAAAAAAAAAAAACAACTAACAGAATAAACTGTATCCTTGCATCATGAAGTTGGTTTTCTGTATCTTCAGCTCCAGATTTAATTTCTTTACAAAATATGACTTCTGACCAAACGTTCTGGGTAATTTCCTGGAATCCAGCCTGTGCAGCCTGGGTGGACCACACTTGAGTGTTGGCTTTCTGCACAGACCAAGGAAGGAATTTTTACCACTAGTGTCTCCCTTGTCCCTTCCCCCTTCGTTGGGAGACAGTATCTAACTGCCAGACCCACTCCTGATCCTTCCTCTTGGTCCCTTCTGGAAAGTAAGTCAGGGTTAGGATTTTATTGTTTTTCACTTATTTGGTTCTTTTCAGTGCTTTTTGCTTTTGTTTTCGGTGTTGGAGTTTTTTTAAGTCTTAAAGAACTTGGACACCATAATTTTAAATGAATTTCCATGGTTGTAAGTTGCAGGACTTGGCCACAAGGCAGCTGAGGAGCACACATGGTCCATTCTGCTTTCGTTATGTACACACTGCTCCCTCACAGTTGTGCTGAGGCTGTTGCTTAATCCTTTATGGAATGGGATGAATGTTTCCAACATTGTGATGACTGTTCCTAATGCTCACTCTTTTCTAAAACAGTGATCCGATACAATTAATGCAACAGGGAAGATCATAGAATCCCAGGTTTAGGTTGAAAAAGACCTTTAAGATCATCGAGTCCAGCCATTAACCGAGCACTGCCAAGTCCACAGATAGACTATGTCCCCAAGCACAACATCTACAAGTCTTTTAAATACCTCCAGGGCTGGTGAATCAACCACTTCCCTAGGCAGGCTGTTCCAATGCTTGACAACCCTTTCAGTGAAGAAATTCTGCCTAATGTCCAATCTAAACCTCCCCTGATGCAACTTGAGGCCATTTCCTCTTGTCCTATCCCTTCTTACTTGGGAGAAGAGACCGATCCCCACCTCGCTACAGTCTCCTCTCATGTAGCTGCAGAGAGCGATAAGGTCTCCCCTCAGCCTCCTCTCCTCCAGACTAAACAACCCCAGTTCCCTCATCCGCTCCTCACAAGACCTGTTCTCCAGACCCCTCACCAGCTTCGTTGCCTTTCTCTGGACACACAAGATAATGGTGTTGGAAATGGAAGGCTGAGTTCAGCCAGATTTTCTGTTTGTCTGTTTTTCACTCTATTCTCGCATCCTCTAGGTAACAGCGACCAGTCAGGATCTCAGGAGAAACTTCTCATTGAAGGCCAGGGCCTAACCGGATGCTCTCCTCGGGATTCTGGCTGCTACGAAAGCAGTGAAAACCTGGAGAATGGTAATGGTGACAGCAATGAGCCTCATAATCCCTGCAGCCTTTTTACAGTAGATAACTTCGTGTACTTTCTGCTCCTGTTCCTAGCTAATACAAGCTGCTTCATACTTGACTTTCTCCTTTGCTCTGACTGCCTCTAGAGCCATTGGTTTTCATTGCTACTGTTTCCAGTCTATTTGCGTTGGCAGGAAACAGATCACATTTCACAAATCGTCTTTCTTTTGAGATCCTAACGCAACAGCCACTCTCACTGCCATTCCCTGCCTTCTCCACTCCCTGTCACGTTCTCATGCAACTGTGCCTTACGAGGCTTGTACTGCTTACACTCTGACAGCCCATGTCTGAGGGACCACTGGCAATGGAGAAGTTGCTGAACTCCACTGAGGTTAGAAGGATTTCTTCTAAACCCATACAAAAACTGTTTAGAAAAAATGGTCTCTGTTTTAGGCCATGTTTTTGTGTTTGCTTAGGTTGCATGTTGTATTCTCCTCTGATCAGAAGCCAGCTGCCAGAGATTTAGGATGTTTTGGTGTATGAACACTAGCAAGTTAAATTAATTGAGAAGTTGGCAAGGAAATAAACTATGAAAAAAAATGCTTATGATATCAATTCTCATTACCTTATCTTGCATCAGTGAAAGGTGATGCACTGAAAAATTACCGAGACAGATGATAGTAGAGATTGCTCTCTCTGTTCTGAGGAAATCGGGTGGTTGTGCTGACTGAGCATGCTTTACTTGAGGGATGGTGTTAACTTGCCATTAGGGATGAAATATTAAAATAGATTAAATTGGTTTGAGTTCAGCTTTATCACCCCAAGCGTTTTTGCCATGGCTTGGCCTCAGACTGCCTGGTTTCATCACTAACATCCAGCTTAAACAGGAAACCAAGAGCAGAATAAATAGAGATATCGTATGCCCCTTGCAGTGGCTGTTTTTCCAATTTAAAATATGAACTAAAGATCTTTCTCTTAGTATATGAATTTTCTGTCAGTCTGCACTCAGAAATAACCATTTATTGAAAAAATTGCAATTTCCTTTGAAGCTGAATGCCTGAAATATACTAAATTCCTGAAAGCAGAATTTGTTCTTGAATGTGAATCCTCGTATAGTAAGCATGCTGCAATATAATCATAGCTAAATATATGGCATATGCGACAATTTTGTTTCCTTTTTACCTCTAAGTGCCATCATAATGATAGCTGTAGCACTGAAATTATTGCTGCCTGTACATTTTCCTTATTTTAACAACATAGTAAAATCCTTAGAAAGCAATTGTCACTGCCTGTCTGCTTAGATACTTACTATTACATTTAAACTAATATTTCTATCTGAGTTTTGCAGAATGTGAAATACCACTGGTGATTTTTTTTATATTGCTTTTCATGTATAGCTTGCTGCATTTCTGCATCGTTTTCGCTTACAAGTGCATTTAGTGCTTGCTTTGAAAACCATTATGAAAGGAACATTTGGTGTGGAATTCATTCAAAGATTTCATCAAGGCTGATTAATCTGAAATGTGTTCCACCTTCTTCGCAAAGTTCATGGACCATAGTTGTTTACATGCATATTGTTTTCAATATACATTGGATTCTCATCTGTTAAGGATAATCATTTGTCTAGTATAAGCATCATAATGTGCAGATCAGTGAAAATAAACTGCACTTCATAAAGGGGAAATGCATTCTGAGAAGAAATTGGTCTTCAAATTTTCTAGGGAATGGTCGCAGATAATATTTTGTCAACTAGCGTAGTGTCCTGGTTTGGGCTGATACTGGACCTTTTGGCGTCAGTTCAAGATTTCAGAGCTGCTCTTACCTTTTGGCTAGAAAATGATTTGCTATGTACTATGGCAGAGGTACCGAGGTATCTTTTATTGGTACTTCTCAGGGTCTCGCTGCAGAAATATTTGGGAATTCTCATAGATATCCGCAATGTACTTACAGCAGCATTGTGATCTTACTGCAGTTTACAGAGAGCAAGGAACACGGAGTTTGTGACCAATTTAGTGTTAGATGGGAAGAACGTAAGAGCAGAAAGCAACCATCCATGAGCAGACCATTAGTCCATATAGTCCAGTCCTTGATTTGAAACAAGGCAGAGAGAGCAAGCTGTCCTTTAGACTTGTGACAACAGTTATTGGGCTCGTTTTGCGTGCAGGCGTTGTCTGTCTGAGACACATTTGGAAACCATGTTGGAAATCTAGTTCTCAAGGACTGGCCAAAAGCAGATAGCTAGAGAACGGTGCTGGAACAGAGCAAGCATATTTGATGCTTCTCAGGGTACTCGTGGGGAATGAGTCATTTAAGGACTTAAAAAATCGGGTACTGGCATTCATCCATTTTCCTGAAACCGTTTCTCTTTATGAACATCCCTGGTCTTCCTCAGAACCTCCGTACCTAACAGTGCCTGTGTATAGATCTCTGTCATACTCCTTCCCAAGTCATCTCTTTTCTGGCCTGAGAAGGCCTGTCAGTTATTCCTTGTAGGTCATTCACATCCCTGATCATGCCTGTCTTCTTTGAAACTCTTCTTGTTGTGGTGTATAGCTTTTTTAAGGAGAGAGGGGCTGTGAAGAGATCAGAATTGCACACACAATGCACAGAGCTGAAGCAGCAGGCAAACCATGGCTTCATCAGATAGGATACGGGTGTTCTCTGATTTGTTCAGAAACTGAAGCCCAGATTTCCGTAGTGCCAAGTAGGCATCCTAAGCACTTAAGTGTTGAGTGCTAATTAGAAAAGGAAGCAACAGAACAGGTGGCCACATTGCCTAGTGTAGTGTGCATTTCTGTTAGCTTGTACTCAGTAAAAAAGCAATGAGGTTAGCATGGTTTACGGTGCCATCATCTTTGTTGTGTCAACAGAGGTGTTTGAAATGCACGCAACATATAGCCACAGAAAGCAACACCAAAATGAAGTTAAGAAAAACTGGGATCTGAACAGGGCACTGAATGCGTTCTGTGTCTGGTTTTGAGTACTTAAGTTTCTGAGGACCGTCTTCCATACGGAAAAAGTACTGAGAGAAACACTGAAGATTTGTTGCTGTAGCTCTGGTGCCTCTGGAAAATATTCCCCAAGATAATCTCCTTTCTTCTGAGGCAGAGAGATGGCAGGGAATTGAGAAGTTCCTTCTCTGTATTCTAATAGCATGAAGTATCATGAAAGCTGGACGGTGCTTTGTCTGACAAAAACTGCACCATAACATTAAACAAAAGAGTTGAAGTATGCCTGTAGCTTGAACTGAGCCTGGAGAGGATACAAACTTCCGATTTGTTTTGTGTAAGGACCACCTTTGTTATGTTAGTTTGCACCCAGACACCTGTGTCCTTCAGCACACATTTAAATCCGGGATGCTACTTCATAGCTGACAGCACTATGAAAGGCGTTAGCCTAGGGAATCATAATGAATTATTATCAATTATTACCAAAATGCTAACATTAAAATGTGTTTTAAACCTTCCTAGTGATACACTTTAACTCTTGTAGGTTTTTCTTGTTTTGTTTTGTTTCTTTTTCCCCTGAGATAGATAGGGAGGCAACACTGTTTATCTAACTCTCTGCTTTATGAAAACAATTAAAAAACATATTTAAAAGTCTGGTTTTGGGAAATACTACCTTCCTCTCTTAATGTCTCAGAAGCATCATGAAGTTGTACCTGGCAGTTAGGAGGAGGACAGGAATAGCTAGAAAAAGAAAAATCACAGCTCGCCTCCTGATACTGCGTTTGAACCCCTGTCCATTGTGCCAAACAGTAGCATTGAACACAGCCCTTTTTTAAAACCATTTTGAAGCAGAGAGCTTGAAGACTGAATGTTCAGTTATATATTTTATAGACAAAATGTTCTGAATTTCCTCCCATTCTCTCCGCATTTGTATTTTTATGTAAAACATGGCTGAAATAAATTAAAGATTTGATTTTTACTTTCCCAAAATTTTTCTTTTCTCATTTTTCGTGATTTGCCTCTTCCTTTTTGTGTTACCTGTTTCTTCCTTTTTCCTTTCCCAGGCTACTGGCTTTACACTGACCTATCCCATTTATAAAGAAATAAAAAGTTACTTACTAGATACCCTTATGGCCTCAGTAAGCACTTACATTGCACAGTACTAGCATTTCCACAACTTTTCTTTCAGTGTTGAGGTTCCTGAGTGTGCTTTCCCAAAACCAGTATAACCCCCGATCAGTATTTCAGATTGAAAAGAAAGGTACATGGATTTTGTTACGTGAGCTGTGACAGCAAGCCCTGGATAATACGGTGAATTACTGCACAAGTCAGACATGTACTAGCAAGTATGAATAATGAAAAGAGAACGCTCCTTTCCGTACTCATTCCATATTGACAAAATGAACGTAACGTTTCTTACACATGCCTTTTTAATGTGGGGGCAAGTTATTTTCAGAAGGCAGTGGCCTAGCTCCGTGGAAAGGTGCAGACAGAGAAGTCTTTCTGCTACTTCTCCGAGCTACCTGCGCTCAAGGTAGTAGCAAGGGAGCCAACTTCTAATGTGCGATGTGTCTTTATTAGCTGTTTGGAGAACTGGTAATACGTAGCTTGGGTAGAACTGTGAACTGTACAGCTTCTGAGAAAAGGGTTCCTGTGTGCTTGCATTCATTCTTGCAGGCACACCTTGATTTTAGATAGAATAACCTTGCTGGCATACCAGTAAATGCAATCAGTTGGGGTTTTTTTTTGAGGGGAATACTTTCCTTAGTTCTCCTTAAATGTAACTTCCATTTTCTTTGCTAGTTTTCTGGATACTTTGTTTTTTAAACTCCTTGAGC